TWATGTGTTTTAATAGAATTTTTAACATTCAAAATCTTCCTCCAAAAGATGTAACACCTGAAGTTGATGACACGGTTTTATTGTTGAATGAAAATTCAGATGAAAGTGAGACTGAAAATGATGCTGACGATACTGTTGATAGTGAGGGTTTATCAAATCCTACTGTTTCTAGTTTAGACATTCTGTCAGAAGACCAACAATTCTATGTTGATGCCGATGGATTACCAATTGATGATCATGACTCATTTGTGTTGCYTAAACATCAGCGCTGTGCAGCGCACACTCTTAACTTGATTGCCTCAACTGTAAGTTTTTTTTTAAATTGTTAAATAAGAGTTACTATTAATTTCTAGAATAAAATAACTTTCATATATATTTTAATAACATTTAATAACCTTTTTTTTTAAATTTAACTCATTTTATACCATTGTTAAATATATTATATACTTATTCCATTTTTGAGATAATTATTATTTATTGTATACAGGATATAAGATCAGCTCTTGAAACTCCATCTTACAAACGACAATCTAGACAAACTTTTGCTAAATGTAATAATATTTGKAACAAGCAAAATAGATCCACATTAGTAGCAGATTMTATTAAAACTGCAATTGGCATTTATTTAGTTACACCTAATGAAACAAGGTGGAACTCCACTTTTGATTCCGTAAAATGTATTCTAAAATACCTTCAATCAAACATCACAAAGATGAATATTTTATGCAACTCTTTAAAGATTGTACAATTTTCAAAAACTGACATCCTGTTCCTTGATGAATTTGTCAAAACAATGTCACCCATTTCCATAGCCCTGGATATATTACAAGTAAGTAAAGTTGACATTTAATTGTATACAATTAATATTACAWTGGTTTTTATAATAGGGAGAGAAATATATGTATTTGGGATATTTGCTACCAACTATTACTCAACTTCAAACAAAGTATAAAGATTTGTTGAGAAACAGAATGGATTATTGTAAACCACTTATATTTTCAATAATTGAAGGTATARATAAACGATTCCATACTCAGTTGAAAGATCCATTTTTTATAATATCATCTGTATCGCATCCATTCTTTAAGACAGTTTGGATCGATAATCAAGATCACAAGAGTGAAGCTTTAACATTATTTAAAGAAGCTGCCATTCTTTTAAACTCTCTACCTATATCAAATAATTCTCAAACATCTTCAAGTAACCAAAATGTTGAT